ACTCTCTGTAAAACCGCTTAGAGAGGCCTGAAAGGCCTATGAAGCGGTATATAAGTCTACTGCTATTGCTATTGCTATTCTCAAGCTTCACTTCCCCCCTGCCGCTTTTATGTCCATTAAGTGAAATTTATCTTTCGTTACCGGTCCGGTGATATACACCGAGTCTCCATTTGTGTCCTGGTAAGTTAGGACTCTTTAAGACGGGTGTCGGCAACATGCAGCTCCGGAGCCGCTTGTAGATCTTTCGTCCCCCTGCTTTGGCTCCCTGTTGGCTGAGCCCACCATTGGCTGGCTCACCCCTCGCTCTCCCCTTCCACGCACTCCTTGCCTGGCCTTAGAGATAGAGAGAGAGATGAGAGACAGAAAGAGAGAGAGGGAGGGAGAAAAAAAGACAGAGAGAGAGATACCTGTTTCCAGGAGTCACAAAACCTGGGTAGGCGTGGCTGGGGGGCATGTTATGTGACTGGGTGGGAGTAAGTGATATCAAGTTGGCCACAACCACACAGTTTTTGTGGTTCCTGGTGTTTTCTTTTCTGCGGGAAAGGAGTCCAAAATGGCTCTTTGAGTGTTTAAAGTTGCTCTAAGAAAACCAGATGGCCCTGGCCTCTCAGTATGCAAGTTTCCAGAGTGAGATTCATGAATTTCTCCCAGGTTTCCGACGTTTGATTCAAAAACCTCCCTTCTTCTGGATTCTTCCTGGATCCCGGATGAACTGTGGGGGGGGAAAAGAGGAGGTTTTGAGACCAAGAAAATCAGGGTCTCTGCTTCCGGAGCAGGCCGCGTGGAGGAAAATAAAGGCGAGGTCCTCGATTTTACACAAATCAAATCCCGTAAAACAAGTTTCTCCGAGCTGTCAAGGCGGCTGTGAATTACGCAGAGGATATTTTGATAAGTATGTTGGAAGAAATGTCCTTCCGGGCTCAGCTCCAAGTGTGGGAAAGGACACTGGAAACATGGAGGCTGCTTGGAAAGATGGTTTAATGGTGGGCAGGACCACATGGCTTGTGTCCTGGACAGAAAAGGTGGGGCCAGATGCTTCCAGATGTTGAGTGAAGAAGAAAGGAGATGCTGAAAGTCCCTGGTTTTATGCCCTCTCTGGGCTTTGATCTTGTATTCTGATTGGTTGTCAGACTCCCATGGGGCCATGCAGGGGCAACTCTCTAGGCTGCATTTTTGAATCCAGGTTTGGTTGAGCCTTGCTTCTTCCCAGATGCCCTGTGGTGAGATGGGTAAAGGGCTAATACTATCATGCCTTAATCCCATCTCTCTGGAGCTGAAGGGGGAGGACTTTGTTATGTAGAATAGACTGGTTCAGGCCTTTTAATGGCCCATTGACAAAGGTGGGGGCTATGAAGAGCGAGTCTCTTTCCTGCCTTAAAACATGTCTCTCCATTTCTTAACCAGGGAAATATAATATTCTGCCTTTTCAGTATTTTCCAGGATATTTCATTTTCTAGAAGTGCGGTGGGTTTTAACTTCCTACAGGTGCATTGGAAAATAGCTTGACCCCCTCCTCTTTGTGGCAGCCCCTCAAATATTAGAAGACTGCCATCCTGTCTCCCCTGGTCCTTCTCTTCACTAGACTAGCCAGGCCCAGTTCCTGCAACTGTTCATCCTATGTTTTAACCTCCAGTCCCCTCATCATCTTGGTTGCTCTTCTCTGCACTTTTTCTAGAGTCTCCACATCCTTTTTTATTGCCTGCATATAAAACAATTTGCAAGAGAGCTAAAACTAAAAAGATTGTGGCTTTCTAGGAGAGGGGTGGGTTATAACTTCCTACAAGAACCTAAGGGTGAAATCAGGCTTGAAGCTCACTGTTTTATCTCTTTCATTTTGGAGGCTATCC